AGCAATTAAGTGCTATTCTAGCAGTGGATGCTTTCTCCAAAGGTTATTTATTGGAATTCCAAAGGTCTTCTCATCTATAAATGTCCAAAGGGGTAATTAGATGTCAACTCAAACCCCTGGTGGTGTTAGGACAAGTGGAAAACTTCATTCCAACCCCTAATTTCCATTGACAAGAGATGATTATTTTCAATTACAAAGAGATTTTTTAAAAAATTGCTAACATACTCCCTCAGAAATTCACACATCAGGCCTTACCTGAAGCAATTACTGTGCTAGCCCAGAGGGTATTTTCAATGCTCAAGCTCTCATTCACAGGAGGGTCACTGTCCTCCTGAAAGAGTCAAGAAAAAAACAGAACTAAATAAGTGCCTTGTGCATTTTTTTTCAAAAAAAGGTTCACACACCATTTCTAGAATCATAAATGATCAGAGATGTGTAGATATCTCCGCACTGTTGCTTCAACCCTCTAGACCTAAAGACCTCAGTGTTCTTCATCTGTTATCACAGGTGTGAAGCCAATATTAAAGTGTGATATGTGTCAAGACATTCAGTGATGCAAGCTACAAGAAGCAACTTCTTCCAACAACCCCATACTCTGCCAGATTATGGTAATGTACATTTACCAGACTGCAGGATACATCATAGCTTATCATACAAATCTGAAAGATTCAGGAAATCATTTGTGGTTGTCTGTAGCAGTTTCTGAGCATCTCATTTCAAATAGATCAAGGAACAAAGGAAAACAGTGATGTCAGCTTGAACCTGTTCAACTTATAAAAGATAAATCTGCACTAGGTAGACCAGCAATCTTAATTCCATGGTTGCGTTTACACATTATATTAAGTAAGGACCCTTTTAAGATTCTAATTCAGGGAAAACTATTCAGTGGAATCTGTCTTCTTCCTCTCTGCCTTCCTCTCCCCACACCCACTCGAAATTACATGTCAACTGAAGTTAATAAACAGAAGTGTTTAGGGAAACTCAAAATACTAAAATAACACTTACTCTTATTGCCTTGAATGAAAACTAGTGATCTTCCTGGACAATAACAAAATATTGTTATTTGTGTAAATAATATTTGTTTAAATAACAAATCAGTTTGAATTGAATAACTTTCTTGTATGGAGCAACTGTATGTCTCCCTTTTAAATATCCTTCTGTAAACTATGGTTTATTTTAAGCATGACTTATGGAATAAGTCACAATGACTGGGTTCCCAGATAATATTAAAATAATAAAGCAAGCTTTTGGTTTAGCAGGATGTTATAAAGTTCCCCATAATAGTCTAATGCTACATATGTACCAGCCATTATGGCTTGTTAATAAACATAGTTAAGACAAGCAATGGTTTGGTGCCCAAACCATTTCCCATGCTTTATATTGATTAGAAAATTGGAAAATTATATTTCATAATGTATCGTTAAAAATAAACTCAGTGCCAATCCTATTATTTCCTCTTACAAGATTGTAGTACAAGACCAAACTATGCTTTATGCTTTTCATCTCTAACCTTTTTTTTGTTAAGATTAATTACAATTATATATGGAATGGTATAATTTTTATCTTGAAAGCTGTGTATTCTCCAGGTGTAAAAACTGCACTCTCCAAAGCAACTTGGGGCTTTATGAAAGAAGTCATTAGCTGCAAACAAGAATGTTTTTCCTAAGGCTCCAAGCTATGATGCAATTATAGCTGGGAAGTTATGTGGTAAATCTTCCCTTTGTATACATCACTTTCAAAGAACAAAATCCCTCCTTATGAAAAGGTAATTAATCCAGCACATATCTCAAACACAGCTCATTACAGAAAGCACTACGTTGGTCTAAAATCTATATGTGACATATGGAACATCTCCAAATGTTGTTTTGCAAATTGTGAAACTGCCTTTAAGCCCAACACTCTCCTGAAGTTTCTAAGAGACAATTTTACTTTTTTTCCTGTTGTTCAACAACAAAGTCAATGCTTACTCTTGTGAATGTCCCAATGAAGTTGTGGATGTCAATGTTTGGCTCCTCTGCATACACATATGACCTGATCTGAAGAAGATCCTACAAAGGGAGGAAGAGTAAGAAGACAGAAAAGGGGGGAAAAAAATCATCATAATGACATCTGAAAAAAAAATCAACAAAAAGCTCTTCTATAGCTCCCCTATAGGAACCAGAGGCCAAGATATGCCCAAGTAAGCCACCAAGATTCCAATGAGCAGGGAGCCTACAAATTGTTGTAATAAACAAATAAGTCAATGAGAGATTTTTTTTTAATTATGCATGTTAGACTGTAATAATTAAAACAATCTTTGTCTTACGTACAGAAGCAGTAGGTAACCTCTGAGTACAGCTGACAGGCAGACGCAGCTTCCAATCTGTTTCACCATCCAGTTGATCCGTTCGGAGAAAACAGGACCCTACAGAAGTTTTCATCTGAGTTAATATGATGTTTTTTCCCCATGCTATACATAGGAAATATGATACCTCATTATTTAAAGCAAATTCTTTATAGAAAAGTTTAGCTTACATGGTACAATGGGGGAAGAATCGTAACTCAGTGATCAGAGATGTGTTTACTTATAACTAATTGCTGGACTGATCTCTGGGACTTCCATTAAAAAAAAATAGTAAAAATCTTGCTGAGAAAAATTCAGAGCAGCCAACAGAGTAGACCTGTCTTCCCTAACCTGGTCCCTTCCTTGCATGTTGAACTTCAGTTCCCATCACCTTCATGTCAAAAAGGGCATGATCCATGCAATAGTCCCTAAACACTCAGCCTTAGTTTCTACTAGACACAAAATATTGGTTCTTTGTAAAAATCAGAGTATCCCTGGGGATATACTGCAAGTAGAGGCTTTACCATTTACTTTTATAGATTATTCTTTTTTTGGGGGGGGGGCTAACATTAAGCCAAATAACCCCATGACTTCAGTGCTGAGAGCAGCTCCATGTGTGCCTCAAAACCATCTTTTGATCTGGGTCACAGTCTCTGTATGACCCACAAACAATTTGACTGTGACCACCAAGACTATATAATATGATTGCACTTGAGTCAACAGTGCTACTGGCAGCTGTTAACTTGATAAATATTATCATACCCAGGAAGGATCCCACTGTCTTTACTACCAAGTAGTTTTAAAATCTTGCTTTTCTTTCCCCACAGTTCAATTTAGGTGCAAGTAAATAAATATTGTGAAGAAGCATTAGAATTGCTGATTATATAAACCTAAAGCCTTGATAGCCTAGAATTTGCAAGCTGCCTGAACAAATGGTGAGACATCTTAGAAGTTAATCTGAAGCTCAATGAAGCCCAAGCTACTGCCAGCATGCCACATCAATCTTCCTTTCCTTCACATTGCTTGACCTTACACAACGGGATGTCCTGCAAGATAAACAAGCTCTATGTTTTAAAAAAATCACCAATTATAAAATAAAAAGGATGCCTGAGCTATTGAAAATGAGTGTTTGAGTTGGTCAGACTCACCACGTCTAAAATTATATCTACTTAGGTTACATGTTCAAAATGATTATTACGTCTCCTATAACTGGCAAAAGGTTAATGGTTATTTTCACAATTGGTTCCAGATGTTTACCGTTCTTTTCTGATGTTCTCAAGAAGATCATGTCAGCAGGGACCCGTTGGTTCTTAATTGGGAAAAGAAAGGCAGTCAATGAACATTCAGTCCACAATTTTAACTGGAAATATGGTATACAACTAAGAAGACTTAGTAGTAACAACAAGAATATTAGGAGGAGGAGCTCATTGAGAATAGACTGATAGTTGTGCATTATATAGTGATTACTGTATGACTCCACTCCAACTAAATTTATAGGGTTAAATTACACAAACAAGTACATAACTTCAAATTCCAGTGTCAGTCTCTTCTAGTACAGTGGAAAGAGACAATTTAGAAATATGAAGTGATCTGGGAATGAGGAGAACATTCCCCTTTTTGCCATTATAGTATATCCAATTTGTTTTCTTCCACCAAAAAACAAATTATTTTTATACACCATTCAATAAAAGTAATAAATATAAAATACAAATAAGGCAACCCTAAATGATTGCCAAAGACCAGAAAAGAGCAACCTCTTAAGACCAGCAAAGTAGAGGAGGATGCATTCTCTAAAGACAAACCTGAATAGTGAACTGAAGCAGGATGCTTCCAAGGTTTTAGGCCTATACTGAAATGAAAAAGATCTTCATTTTGGAGATTTCATAGGCTATGGGGCCTTTGAAAGCTGTCCTAATTTATGCACTTCCAGAGGTTCCTGCTTAAGTTGACAGTATAAGCAGGAACTACTACTTTGAAAACATGTGTCCAAGCAGTTATCCAAGAAAGAAAAAAAGAAAAAATCCTTGTCTTTTGAAAATAGCTAATCTAGGAAAGTTTCCTTCCATTGCAATGATTCCTCTGCTCCCAAATGTCCTCATCAGGGAGATGGTTCTCCCTTTACTCTTTCATCTGTTTTCAAGACAACTGCCTTCCTTCTCATCCATATAAGCCAATGGAATCAGCTATGTCTCTATTAATTTCCACAGGAAAAAAAGGAAGATTGCCACTGAAGTTGTTCCCTTCAACCTGCCAAGAAGTCAAACAATAACAGAATGCTCTTTGCAGAGAAGGCCTTCCCCCAAATTCATCTTTGTAGTATGATGCTCTCTCTTCCTCACTCTTCCCCACCTTGAAAGTTGGTCCAGTAATAGCCTCAAAAGGTCTCCTCTTGCATTAACAATGTCAGCAGCAGCATTTCTGAATGGGAAAACCATCCAAAGGTCTTTGAAAACCAAAGCAGGCCTTCACCTCTGGTCCAAAGTGAAGCAAGTCTTGCCCAAAGCAGATCAAACAATGCAGCTCCCTACCTGAAATTCTAAAGAACTTCTGAACAAGAATTAAGGCTACAAGATGCAAAATCCAGTATACTACTAGAGGCCAGCAAAGAGCTAGAAGTATATGTAACGCTGTGCTGCCATGTACTGGTCATCTGAATATTTGCAGTCCCAATCTGGTAGCAATACATTTGATTTTGCATACAATTATGAAATAGCTTTTCCACTTTAGTGCCCAGCAGATGTGTTGGCTTGGAATTCTGGTCGTTGAAGTCCAACATATCAAGAGGCATCAAATGGAAGAAACCTGCTGTTCAATATGCTTTAACTATTAACTGATTAAAGGTGATTCCTTTGATAGTGTTCTAAGAAACAGAGTGTATTAAGGAAGGTATTACCATTTTGTAAATCTAATCATACCTTTTCCACAATGATAAGGTCCCCCACTTGAATATTAGAACTTTTCACCTTCACTGTGCCTGAAGAGAAAAAAACATTAATGCTTTAAAATTCTCCAAAAGAATGGATGAGCTCTGTTCTTCCCAAGACACTGAGCATTCTCAGTGACACCCTCCTCTTCAATTTAGAGGTGATTATTGGCATCTTTCTATTGGCAAATATGGTCCATGGCTCATACAATCCTTGATGCTAAAAACTCCACAAATATCAGCAAAGGGTAATGCCTCACTCTTAAAACATTGTAGAGTAGCTTTATGCAGCTGTGAACAGTACAATGACGGGCATGCATTTAAGTTTAAAGCAGAAAGCCAAAGTAAAACATCAACAAAATGTAAACAAGAATTAAAAACAGTCTCCCCCTCTTCCAAGAAACATTTGGCTTTTAGGAGGCCCTACACAATATGACTTGCAAAACAGAGCACAAAAGGTTTGAGAAAATATTGTTTTTTGATACAGCTGGTAAATGCCAATGATCTATATCAAAGCAGTGCTCCCTTGGCAGGGGGTCTCTTTGCATTTCATAGGACTTTTTTTTAAAAATGATGGTTTGGTTTACTGGCTTTGTATTCATGAATTGTAGGGAGAGGGGAGAAAACAAAACTCCTGGGTTTTAAACCAAAAGCCTAGAAAAGGTATCAAATCCAGAAGCTTCATTTGCAAATTTAAGGCCAAAATTGGGCCAAAAGACACATGTTAAAAAAACTTGTTCTGATATAGATTTACCTTTTTCCCACAAAAATATTTTTTTCAGTGTCCCAGAAAGCACAAGCAATCAAAAAGAAATAGCAAGTCTGAACGTCCACTAAGAAATTTAAGTGGACAATAGATTCAGTGCAAATATTTTTGCAGTAAAGATTATTTCTGTTTTGTTATTTTCTCTTCCAGTTATTAGCAAAGAAAGAGAAGAAAAGCCTGTCTAGATTAAGAGTGTCCTTTCATATTTACTACATCTGTATCCCCTATTTGTTACCTTTGTATATATTTTCTTCCATATGGATGCCTACCCCCCCACTGTATCCTCCAAACAACTCCATAAGATAAAGAGATAGTGGCCAATTTCACACAATACAATAAACTATGTTCATTCATGATTTGTTGACTAATTATTACACACTATGACATACCTGCTAGCTCATGAACTACCAGGGCTCACACTACGTTAAACCAAAACTAGTATTATTGTTTAGTGTGATATCTGAATCTAGTTATCAGCTGTGTTCACCCATCACACTAAACCATAATTACTCAGTGCTCAACCCCTGTTGTCTGCGTTTGTACAAGATAGTAAGCCATGAACCATGATTCACGATTTACCCACTGCATTAATCCATAATGATATTTGTTCAGGTGGTTTCTGCTTGCAGTCATACTTTGAAGGAAGGGGGAAATTTAGCAGCTTAAACTTCAGGCTATTAAACCATGGTCTACCATTGCACATAAATGGCAGCACGTTTTTCTTACTTATCTGGTCTCCAAGTAACTACAAATTTTATGTATGTTATAAATTTACCTTGTAAGAAAAACAATCATTTGCAGGAATTTTTGGTTAGAGCAAAGCAAGAACTCTTTCAACAGGACACTACAAAGTTCTGCTTTGGCACAAGTTACAGAAGGGGCAATTAAAAGCTCTGGGTCCACATATCTGACAACATCTTCCCCTTCTCCAGTCAACCCCTCCTTCCCAAAACTGCTGTTCTGATTATCATCATTATATGATTGAGTTGCAGATCTCAATGCTGTAGTACTCTGTCAAGAATTCAGTGAGCAGAGAAAGCTGGAGCCAATTTCCTGACCCCTCGCTGTGAGCTTGCTGTAAATCTGAGAGTTCACTTCCTTGTCACGCATGTAACATCGGATCTCTTCTACAGCCTCACGGATGATGGTAACAGTAAGCACAAAGCCCTAAAGAGGCAGAAAGAGAAATGCGGGAGGATTATTCAAAGAAAATAGATTAAATCCAAAGAATCTGCCTGAAGACATGGGAAATTACTGGATCATCACCACATGGAATCAGGGGTAAAATGTTCAGTTAAAACTTCAGTTTCACAAGGAACACTTCTTTGTTGGTAGAGGCTAACGTTATATTACATGACTAGATTAAAAAAGCAGAAGAAATAAACACTGGTAGTACAAAAGCACCATTAAAAGACACCATTGCTACAACGTTCAAGCCTCAAATATTCAACTTCTATGTTGCTACAATATTTCTGAGATGGCCTTTTCTTTTTTCTTTCTAGATAGTCTGAATCCTTCTGGATCCAACCAAGTTTGTATCCAGTTCATCGTTCTGTTCCCCCAAATGGTCAACCAATGCCTCTGGGAACCCCATAGATAAGATATTGTATTTATTGTATTTTGAAATATTCCTATTACATTTATTTTTAAAATATTCAGTGATGAACACCTTAAACAAAACAATTAAAACACATTCAGTAAGAAGGAAATAGCACCTTCTCATTTGTGATCCCAGAAACTGATATTCATGGGCAAATTGTCTTTGACACTAGAAGAAATATAAATATATGACCACCCTTGTCTAATTCTGACCAGCCTTATCTAATTCTGATAACCCTATCATCACCTTGCTTAGTGCTTGCAAATGATCACAATCCTGCTCATTAAAATAATGTTTCAGATTCTTATTTGTGATGCTTTTAGTTTTTTTTAAAAGACACACACTCACAGTGATTTATGCAATTCTTTATTTAAATTTAATAACTCCGTGCACTCCTGAGCAAACTGCTGGAAGCTAACGTGCCTCCATCTCACGCAACTTGCTATTCTACAGTGCAGTTCTTAGAACTATCCCCCGCCGAACACAGAGGGCTTTCTGCTAAATAAGCGAGATTACAGGTTTCATCCTTCTGAAGGGGAGAAGGGGGGAAATAGCCTTAACTGGAATTCAACTTCTCAGTCTAAAATCATGTTCTTTTTCCTTCATAGTTTCTCTCTCTCACACATATTTTAAGTATTTAAAAAATGTTCCCAGACTGGGATTATATATGTGTTTAAGAATGTTCTCAGTGTAGATTCTTCCTACTTGAATCATGGAAGGGAAATAATTTGTTTTGTAAATGTAATTAAGCTCTCCAAAGGAAATCAATCCACCCTACTAATTTCTAGGAATCTTCCACTCCTTGCATAGCTTCCATGAACATTAATTCAGAATTACATTACTACATGCCTTCAAGGCTTGACGTTACTTTACAAAGAGATGCAAATGATACAAGGAGATGGATTCCAACTCCCCAAAATTTGGAAATCATTAGTATATTGAATAAAGCAAATCCAAAGGAATTCAGGGTCATGATGTCTTATTTGAAAGAATGGCAATATCCTTTGGTTAAATAAAACAATCCTTTTTATATTTACCTGAACTATTTTATTTACTGTATTTTAAGTAATGAGGCTTTCTTCTAAGTATATATGTAACATTCAATTATCAGACTATTTTAGTCCAATTATTATAACATTTTAACTTGCTGCTCAAAATATATATTATTCATTACTCTGAAATACTATCCCAAAATCCAGTTTATAAGATTTATGCATAATATACAGGGAAAAAAATCTCTCTGCATTTAAAGATTGGGCTTCCAAGTAATAATTAAAAATATCCCATTTGTTCTGCCTCACTGACTCCTCTCAAGTTGTTATTCGACTCCAAAATGGCTGTTTCAGCAGTCTACAATGAACAAAAAGTCTATTATTTATAACCCTGACAGCTCACATGCTGAATTCTAATGGTTCGTGTGATCTGAACAAATTACAATGAGCTACAGGTCTGAAGCAAGCCTTATAAAAACTACAAACTAATTTCTAAAGCTCCCTACAACAAACAACATACAGTAGTGCAGCCAGATTCAGTGCCATATAAAACGAGGCCAAACTTTAAGAATGCAAGCTATTAAAAAGGGGAAAAGTTTCTAGCTCTCATGCTAAACTATAAAGTGGCTTGCTTTGTTGAATTCTAAATGTAAGCCTAGCCACTGGGGATCACCATCTCTCAATACTTTTTTCTTTTCAAAAGCAAACAAAGGCTTAATCAGAATAACTGCAACTGGGAATGGGGGAGAAGAAAGGCGGGGACGGGGGATTTAACCTTTTCCTTTCTGTTGCTTTCTCTATCTCAAGTCCCTCCCCCCAAAGCTGGTTTTTGCCCCATGGGAAGAAATATAGATCTACTTTGGGGGGAAGGGAAAATTTGATGTTCCACTTGCTATTTTAAACAGCCCTGAATTATCCAATCATGTCACCATAAGCCCTAGTTTGCTAAACTGTTGTTTGTTGAAAAAGCTGTAACTGGAAGAAGCTAAAATCCCTAAAGGCATAATAAGTCACAGCAATCTAACTGATAATCTTGGGTGTGGCCTCTGGAGACCTCCAAAAATCATTATCCATGATAATTTTTAATGTGGCTGAAACTACTGAACACACAACTGGATTTCTATTATTTATTATTTTATTTTATGAACCTTATTAAATTTGGTGTTTTGTTTTATTCTTAATCCAACTGCATGTCACTATACTTTTTCTTCTGACAATTAGTTGAGTCAACAAACACATCTGAACCAGATTTAATTTATTGCAATATAAATTTAAATCAAGTGAAATGAAATGAAATTTAGTTTTGGTCCTGGCCCCACCAACTTTGTCTTTTGGAATACAGTAATTAACACATTGTTCAAAACCCAAGTGCGGCTGTTGATGCAGAAAACACAGCACTCCCTTGTACTAAACAAACAAATCATCTGTGGCTTGTGAGACACAGACTGCTGGTGAGAAGAACAAGCAGAACCAATTGGAACTGTACAGGTCAGCGTGCTCCTCCTTCACTTCCAAATTGGTCAATATATAGTTTATATAGTTTAACCTTTGGAAGGATCTGGAAAAACAGAAACAAACAAAGCCAAACTCTATCTACTTTGTGAACATTTGTTCAGTGTTTACTCACTTGTTCCAAAGACAATTACCAAAATGCTCCCATGACAACTTATGTTTTAGGGAGTTAACCCAAGGGAATTTCTTTTAACTGAACTGAACTGAATTTATGGGATAAATTACTCCTCTGGATCAAGTATCTCCCTGTGCATTTCATTTTCCTGTACCGCTCAAGGTTTTATTTCTGAATGGTGAACCTTTATTAAATCAATTTAAAAAGTCAGACCAAGCATCTACAATTCCCAAAGACATAAAGGGCAGGCTTCATAAAATAAGCTAACAAATACCATTTTAAGTTACAGCATTACTTGGATCTCAGAGATAAGGTTAACAAAGGACATCTTGTATTCAAACACTGAAACTTTTCTTGGATAAATAAACCTGATATTACCTACCAGTGGAACCCAATATGTGTAAAGTGCACCAAGCCTCATTTCAGGAACAAATTGAGAACAGGCAAGAAATAAGAAGTAGAGGTTGAAGAAGTACTTGAATTGGTTGAACAGGACCTAGGAAGCAGAGAAGGAGGGAGAAGGCCAAATAAGTGACAAGGAAGGAGCTCATGCAAGATGAGGGTAGCTATCCACAGAAACATGTTAAACTTACAGGATTCTAAAAAGAAAAAAAAGTCTTATTGGACAGCAAAACTTTACTGAGTCATACACACACACACACATACACACACAATATCTTCATCTAGGCAGAACAGCAGTTTGAGTTATTCCAGCTATCTTATTCCTCACTCCAAATGTACTTTTGGACTTATGTTTAGTGTTGGGAAGATACATTGTTCTGATTTTTTCCTTCCAGTTCTTACTCAGTTGGATGAAAGATAATTTACTTTTGAAATTTCTTCCAAAGTAGAGGATTTCAAATAAATATTTACTGAGTGAGGCATTCTTGCATTTATTTAGTTAGGAGATACCCAAGGGCTGTATGGAAATATCCTGGCTTCCCACACTTCCATTAAATCCTGAGGAAGATCTCATGAGGGAACCCTTTCCATGAAGCTTTTGCAGTAGTGGTGCTACTATAATCACTAAGGGGGTGGGGTGGGGGGACTCCTGTTCATAAGAAATTATTGGATAATTTCTCTCCTTCTGAAAAAAATCCTTAGAAAAAATTTGAAGATTTTTTTTTAAAAAGAAAAACACTTCTACTTTGGTTTGTGGGATATCATACACAGAGGCATCTGTGGAGGGAATGACATCACATATCATCATGCAAACAGCATGATTACATGATTTGTTTCAGTGGTGTCATGTGACTGGTGCCAATAACATAATGTATCATTTGCACAATACAACATGCCACACATAATGTCATTTTGATTTTCATTATAGATCCTAACCAATGCCTATGATCATACTTACTCCTGGTAGAAAAGTAAAGAAGTTGTATTTCTGGTTGTTGATGACGTTGCGTGGATATCTCTGATCCCTCTTTTCTGGATGGCCAAGCCAAACTGTTCGAGGCCTGGGGTCTCTTCTTCCACAACATCTTAGGCATTCACAACATCTATAGAAAAACCAGAATTTAAAAACCTTATTATCTCAAGAAAAGCAAAATAATGACAGCAAGTTCAGCCAATAGTTGCCACTTTTCCTCCATTGCTCCTGACAGGGCCAAAAAAATGGGAAGAACTACAAAAATAATCCAGGATTCTAGATTCAAGCACAAGAACAAACTATGGTTAAACTAGGATTTCTAAACCAATAACAAACAATGGTTTCAAAATGTAATTTGGGATTGCCTTCCCAAATCATATTTTTGTCTTTTACCTCTCAGAACAAATTGTTTCTCCACTTTGAGGTGTTGTATCTTTTATTAGTTGCCCAGAGGAAGAAAATTCAGCCAAAGCAGTTTTTTACAGCTCTTCAGCACTGTGTTGGAACAAACTGATTCTATTTTGCATATTTTTTTGTATCCATCTTTTAAAGCAGAGAACTCAAACTCCAATTGTCACAAGAGCTGCATGAACACCAGCTCATCAGCCCAAGGGCTGACACACTGGAGCTTTTTCATAAATTGATTGGAAGAGCTTGAGTGAGTCAGAAATGAAGAAAGTGAGCATAATGCTATGCCATTAATGTATTGAATTAATGCATGAGTGACTGTAAGCAGTGCCTCCAGGACCAGGAAGGGGTGCAACTGGTGTACAAAACAAAGCCCTCCTGGCCACAACTGTTACCTGCTTTTGAAGCAGCACCTGCGAGTCCAGGAGGACTCCCAAAGTGTGCACTAGTCTCAAATGGGGAAGCACAATCCCATCAAGACCAAAGGTGAAAATGTCCCAGACCTAGGGGGCTCAAATAACCACTGCAATTCAGTCTTGTCAGGACTGAGCCTGAGTGCATTTCTCTCCATCCAGACCCAACCAGCCTCCAGATACCAGGATACTACATTGACCACTTCACTTCTAGCACATCAGATTTCTCTACCTCTGAAACTTTTTGTTCTATTTTTATTTATAAAACATTAACCTGCTTTTCAGTGCTTAAAATCAAACCCTGAAGAAGGATTTTGAAATGCTTCTTCCTTAAAAATTGAGCAAGACAATTGAGCTTGGAATCTTCACAGTTTCTGGTTGAACATTTGTATGGAAAATGCAAGAAAAAGATGGATTTCCGGGAAGAAATGTACTGGCTGTGTTTGCACAACACACTGAAACACAAATTAGCCAAATACATTTTAGCCCTGTATACTGTGCAAAACCAGCCTGGGTGCTTATAGTTTAATGTCATATGAACCCACAGTTCTGTTTACTGAGTAAATAAGGCTTAAGTTAACCATGAGTAAACATGCTGTGCAAGTATATACAGGCTCTCTCGTTCATGCATACAATAATAGGAGCAGCTTTAACCCTATAATCTGGTTCACATATTAATCTAAGCCGATTGCAATCTAGTAAGTAAATAATCATGAGATGCTGGATTCAAAGTAAGCAAAAGACCACAACTTACAAACCATAATAACTGAGGTGGAACAACACACTTAGCCATAATACGGCTTATTTGGATTTGGTTGAGCATGTGAGGATGGAGAATATGCATGCCCTGAAACTTCACTGAATAATCCCTTTCACTCCATCATGACCGTTCAATGGTCTTCTATTAGAAGTGTAAAAAATATTCTGGAACAAGACATGGGAGACCAATTCCGTTCTGCTGCCAAGAAAACAACACTGACTCCATGAAGCCACCAGGAATTAAGATCCACTACCTTTTTAATCTTTACAGCTTTAGTTCGTTCGATTTAGAGCTGGCCCCTCTTCTTCTATGTTTAAATATGCAGCTACTGTTTCAACAAAGAAGTTGCAGATGTACTTCAGATGTCAGACAAATATGCTAAAGAGGCCCAGATACACCACAGTCTCCAAGAACCTCCCTATTTTTTTCAGTCCCTGGAATTCCCTCTTAACTGTACCACTGAATTTCCATTCAAGCTAGGTAAATTTATTTAGTACTTGGATAGGAGATCACCAGGAAGTTGAAAAACATTTTTGAAGGCAGCAGTGGAAAATCACTTCCATGCCGTTGCTGTGGGCATAAAGTAACCAGACTCAAGATCAATTCAGCAACTTCTTCTTGGAAGACTCTTTTAAAAAAATTTGAGGCAGAGAATATATTAAAACTACAGTGTGTGCTTAAAATAGGCTTAATTTTATTTTTTAAAGAGAGAGAGGAATTTCCCCTCCCCCACCAACAAGAGGTTAAAAAAAAAAGTCCTGGTACAGTTTTGCATGATCATTCCACCTACAGAAACCATCAGTTTCAACCAAAGAACTTTAAGGATAGCCATTCACATGAAAGCTCCAAAAGGACAAAGTTAAAAACACATACTGTATGTTCTACCTGTTTGTTGTTGGGACGTTGGGTGGGTGGTGGAAGAAGCTGTCATTCCCTTGAAGAAAGTGCATTTCAGTGACAACCCTCCCTCAAGGGCATTTAGCTCTGTATTTGCCAATAAAGAGATTGCTGGCTTGACTAAAAATTGCTTAAAAATAAATACACCTTATTCCAATATTTCCACCTACAACCTCTGGATGCATCCTGTCCTGCCAATAAGAAAATATCTGGTAAGAGGCAGTTTGGTCTAGTGGTTAAGGCTCCAGGCTAGAAATCAGAAGACTGTGAGTTCTAGTCCTGCCTTAAGCATGGAAGCCAGCTGGGTGACTTTGGGCCAGTCACTC